AGTTGCAGAATCCTTCAAACTAGCACAGGATATGAATGAATGTTGTGCATTTTTTTTTTATGACTGGCAAAATATTACAGAGAAGAGGAAACAGACACAAGTTTTCTCATTTTCTCAGCAGCTAGGAAAAAAGCTCTGCAGATGTCTCAGCTACTTCAGCTAACATGAAACATGCAGCAGAATCTAAGAAAAATATCTTGCCAAGGAGTAACTTCCGCCCTTCCACTGTTCCTCAAACGTATCACTAGTATCACTACTTGTGCTAATCAAAACCCTGGCTCCTCATTTCAAAGAGCATCCCTTTTTTTTTTTTTTTTGCTCTCCCCAGCTATTCAGCATCAATCTCTATTTAGCATCTTCATGAGGCATAACATTTAGCTCTTTTTAGCATCAACTGGCATTCTTTCATGAAAAAGCCGCCTCTGACTTAGAATATGCCATTTAAATAAAACAGTCTAAACCAGAATATTTGATTTACACTTCTGGGATTTTTTCGCACCTATGCTCCAACCCTCAGTAATTAAAATGTGGGTTACTTCCAAGGGTCGCATTTCTAAAATTGTAGTTCACTAAACTGTTTCCCCACTGCCACTTAAAACGCATCTTCTAAAGAAACATCATCATAAAGGTCACCAACAGATAACAAAGTGCAAGTGGAGTATACAGACCACAGCATTGCCACCAAATGATCAGTGATAGTTATGTCCCCACCACTGACCAATTTCAGGAGAACCAGTTAATCCAAAAGTAGTAGTGATCACTTATTGGCTTACGTGGCTCTCACAACCATTCTAACATCAAATGTTCACTGTGACTCTACTTTATAAGGAGCTATGGGAGGACAACCATTTTCACTATTAGAAACCGCTGAACCTCAGCCGAGCAATGCTGTGGAATTTTTATTTGTGACACCCTAGAAGACAATTAGATTAACAAAAGAAAACGCACAGGAACCCACATCACTCCTTAAGCAAACTGTAATCACTATCTTAACCTTATAGTGTTTTATGTGCATCCTCATATTGAAAAATTTTAAGACAGAGCATACTGCACATCTGTGACAGTTTTCCATTCAGTTCCCTTGTATATAAAAAGATCAGCACCCAATTGTACAGAGAAGAGGAATTAAAACTTTTCATACAAAAAAGCTCAAATGAACACAGCATTTCTGAAAGGAATCAGAAGATACACGACTTTCTCATTCCTGGGTTTCTACGGAGAAGCTTTGCCTTAATATTTTTTCTCTTTTTAAAAACATAAAATTGCCCTTTTCACTATCACCTCTCCAATATCATAATATACTGTGTTGTAAGACAAATACAAAACCCATAATTCTTCCACTACATTTCAGATCAAATTTGTAGCACTGAATTCAACAATGTAAATTCTTTGACTAGGTATGGTTTGGGATTTTTTTAAGCTATCAAACTGCCTTAGGTAGGTTTTACCATTACTAACCTACACGTTAGGTTAGTAGCAGGTGCTGGTCTCAGCAAGTTAGAAAGTACATGTACTTATCAATGATGAAATAAAATACTACATATATATATATCCATACACACAAATATATGTATTTGCATGAGATTTTTTGATTTTTAAATAAAAAGAATGCAAAAAAAAAAATCAGTAAGGGCAGCATCATGCTCAGCAAGACTTAACAAAGTTCATATTACTGCAAAAAGGCCAAGTATTGCAAGAAAATTCTCAGTAGAGCACCCAAAACCTACTTCAGGTACAGTACCTGAAACCAGTGTGAGAATGGCTAGATTTTAAGCTGGCAGCAAGACTTTAACTCTGAACTATGTAAAGAAATACTGAGTTTTAATTATATAAGTTTGCAACTAAAATATTATGGAGTGCTGGAACTATGACGATACGCATGCTTGCCTCTAGTCCAATTCCTTTCTAACAAAATACATTTTATGGAATTAATAAAGAATTTGAAACATTTCAGTCATTCTGTCACAAACTTCTTGCATTTCATGTTGTGATTTTCAGAAAAAAACTCAGGGCCTGAACCAAGACCTGAGAGAAAATGATTCTGCAAGGTTTAGCCTTCATGATGGCAACTGTAGCAAGTGATAAACTGTGTTGTATAAAACACTGTCAATTACCTCAACAATATACTAAGACAGTTGTATTATATTCTATTTTTTGGTTGCCAAGCAGTTTTAAGTAAATAGTAAGATATCAACCATTACATGAAAAGAGTATCAAGCATTTTTTATTTAGGAGTCTGATTATTTCTCATCTAAATTTATCTTTCCCAAGATTTTCAATCTTAGGGCTAATTTTATACATATGACTAGGTACAGCACTGACAATGCCATGTACCATCATTAGACATTGAATAGCTTTGCATAATAGTTGGCATTATCTCCAGTCATCAGAGTTCAAATAAACTTCAGGTATTTCTTTCTAATCAAATTAATGACAAGCCTATGTTAATCACTTCAGTCGTGACTGTCATAGGATAGGTATAATATACACATATCTGGAGTAAGCTATCCTAGCTAAAAGGACGGTTGCCTTTATTTTAGCTTTACTGCAGAATTCAAACACAATTTCTTAAGAATAAAAAAATAAAATAAAAAAAACCCAAACCAATCCCCCCCCCAAAACAAACAAAAAACCCCACCACAATCCCAGAAGTACCTAACCTGCAGACTTATGCGTTTAAATGTATTTGGAATGTTCTTTCTAAAGCATCTTCTGGATTTCACCAGTAAGCTACATAAAATGCTATAAAATTATTAATGAAATTCAAACTGTGTAAAAATGTATGGTAAAAGTTTCTGTACAATTTAGTCTACCCCATCTGCTGCTAAATTTAATTTAAATCTATTTTAAGCCAAAATCTCTAGAACACAAATCTGATGTGATTTCTGAAGTGCAAATATGACCTTAAAACATAATATAAACAAAGAAAAGGATTTTTAGATGTGAAAGACAAATATTCTGTAAGCTAAACACATTTAGATATAGCACAAACTACAATTTACAGACACACATTTCAGCTACTTTAAATATTTATTAATCATTTCACAGTTCTAAATGCAAAATGTATATAGGCCAGTTAGACCAGAGACAATGATGGAAAGTTAATGTGAAGTTCTACACTGGGTACAGAGGTGTTAACAGTGGTTAGCCATAACACTCAAGATTCCTCAAATGTAGCAAGTCTTTCTTGTACTGTTTACTTCCAGGATTAGGGGTTTACTCTTAGCATCTTTAAAACTTTCCCATCGGTGTAGTCCAGCATTCAAATACAGAAACAGAGGTTAAAACAAAACTGAAAAAGAAGTCATAAAAACAAGCCTATTCATAGATGCTGTCTATTTATACCATAGGAGATAAGTTTGTCAGTGTCATTGCCTGATCTCCTGTATTTGCTTTTCCAACACCCCTAAGTTTACTGTTTTTCAAGCACTTAGAAGGTTTCAGGCATATTCTAAATCTCTCCTCTTTATCACAGTTCTTAACATAAGTCTTCAGAGTTAATTATTTTTACAGTATTTATACCTGAGTGCTCAGCAAGTCAGTCAGAAGTTGTTTTTCAGTAAGAAAGTGAAGACTGCTTATGCTAGTAGGTATATACAAGAAAAAGGTTCTCATCTACTTATGTTCTTCTGTTCTTGTGAGCAGACCCTTCTTTTTCCCCACTTAATAATACAGCCCATAAGCCAACCAAATAAAAGGGAAAAAAATAGTTTATAGTGTTTATTTTTCTTCTAGTAGCTACAGTGCGACTTCTACTTAAGAATTCAAATTGCATGAAGTGCAACATCTAGAACTGCACATTAGTTAGGGATGTCCAACTGCTACTGAGTTATTAGAGAGGAACTACCCATTTTAAAAACCTTTCTTATTGTAGCTTGTAGAAACAAAATGGTTGGCACATTGTTCCACGACAAATCAAATTAACATTTTAAGAACCCAAACCAGCACTATATTACTTAAAATCATTAAAACTGCACCACATCCCCACTGGGGATAGCAAGAGGGCAAGCCAGACCTCTATTATGGGAGCAGTCTGTAATATATACATTGTAACCAGAGCTGATACTGTCTATAGTTAACATAAGACACATGAGTTCCTAAAAAGAAAATACATATTTATTTCCCTTGCTCTTGCCTCAACTTCAAAATATAGACGACACAAACTCCTGCAGTGAAGAGGAACAAAGCAGAGTTGCCAAAAGAACTATCCTGCAATAAAATAAACATTAACTATAGGCACAAAGAAGCCAGGTGCCATACGAGTAGTACCTGAGCCTGCAAGAGTGTGTTTGTGGGTGTCCTAGCCCACTCTCAGCACGGCACTTTGGTGCACGACCACAGCAACGTGTAGCACATAGGGAATGCCTGCTTCCATCCTGAGCACAGCGAATACACAATTCTCAAACACGGCGACGACCCTCCGGGCCTTTGTACTCCTCATACCCAGATTTTAAAGCACAGCTACACGAAGTGTTAAAGGGCGCGCTGGCGAGGTCTGGGCACACACGTAACGAGCAAGGAGTACGAGGGTGGTAGGAGCACCGCACGGCTCTACAGGAAGCCCCCCCCCGCCCCGCCTCCCCTGCGGCCACTGCATGAAGTTGGCCGAGCATCACTCGCCCCATCGCCAGCCCGGGCGCACGAGAGGCCTCCTTCCCCTCGGCCTCCTCCCGCTCTCGCATGTCCTCGCCGCCAGATCTGCCCTCCGTCGACCAGTCTCCCCCAGCCGCACGGCGGAAGGAGGAGCGGGGAGGTGGGGGGGGTGGCTCCATGACCCTCTCCCCGCTCCTGTTTCCAGGGTCAGTGACAAAGTCCCGCTCCTGCCCGACTCGAGGACAACCCCTGGGAGCACCTCTCACACCGGATAGCCCCCCCGCCGCCGTATCCCCCGTTCCCGCCCCTTCCCTGCATCGCAGCGGGAGGGCAGCGAAGACGCCGGACCCCGGGGCCCCGCCCGCTCCCCGACCCCGAGGGAAGGAGCGGGTAGAGGGGTTACACACCTCGCTGTTAAAAGCTTTCACGGCCTCCATGTCGTGGTGGAGGCGGGAGCCGGGAGGCTTCTCTTCGCTGACAGCGGCCGGGCCGGGAGGGCCGCGGCCCAGAGGGGGGCTAGTCTCGGTCTGTGTGTGCGTGTGCGCCTCGCTCAGTGGCCGCCGGGCCTCCTCGCCATGGCGGGTGGCGCAGGGGGCTGCCGCGGAGGGATGCGGGGCCCGCTCGTTTCCGTCTCCTCCCGGCAGCGCGCAGCCTCCTCGCCCCGCTTCCCGCCCGGCAGCGGCACCGACGTCCCGTCCCGTCCCCTCCCCCGCTCGGCCGCGCCGGCAGGAGATGGAGGAACAACGCGCAGCGGCTGCGGCGCGGGCACCAATATGGCGGACACACGGAGAGTCCTCGCAGCGCAGCTCCTAGAGCAGCCGAGAGCGGCGCAGGCGGCTACAGCGCCGCCTGTCGGGCAGCGCCTACCCGTCCGCCCGCCGGGCCGCGCCACTGAGGTGCTGTCGGGATGGCGTCCCGGCCCGCCCTGCGCCACCGGCTACGCCTCCTCCATCCGCTCCCGGTCTTGCGAGCAGGCGTGAGGTGACGGGTTACGGACGCAAGGTGAGAAACGCTATGGTGTTTTGTCAGCGGAGGAAGTCCAGGAGTTGTGGAGAGAGACGCTGTTGTCGCGTCCCAACCGGAGGCCGGAATCCCCGGAGGGGGAGTCCTACCAATACGTTCCCGCAGAGCCTCACCACACGGCAAGGCCCGCCGGGGAAACTGCATGCAGGCTTGAAGAGAAACAGCAGGAAAAAGTATCTGCGGAACATAGGAGAAAATAATTAAAAAAAAAAAAAAAAACCAGAAAAATCACAAACGGTGAGCAAATAATAGTAATAAAAAGGAGAAAACCAACAAAATCATAATGCAAATCAGTAACAAGTCCCAGTGCACTGAACACCTGAATATTATAACTTGACCATCTGACACCAGGAAGTCTCCAAACCCAGCATAGGTATTACTCAGGGCATACTCTCAGATTAAGTTTAAGGAGGATGTGCCTCCCCATGAACAGCAGTGCTACTTGCATCCTCTCCCGCCATGGCAGCCCAGTAGGGTACCTATCTCCCCTGGAGCACCAACACCTCACGTGAGAAATGCCAGCAGCAACAGCTGCATCAAACAGGATTTACTTCCAGGGCATAGATTTTGTTCAGTCAAACACAGAGGCTGCCGCATGACTCACCTTCAGCAGGGAAGCTCAAGGAGCTCAGAAGCACTGAGGATGAAATCTTAGCCTTGCCTTTAGCTGCTGTTTTTCCAAGAGGTTACGTTCTTCAACTGTACCAGTACAGGAGAACTAAGACAGCCTGAATTAGGCTCCAATCTGAACTGCATTTCATTATTTTCCAGTCACGAATAGGCCACGTGCTGGACAGACTGTACCCTCCAGCACTCATAAGTGCCTCTCAACCTGGAGCCACAACTCCCCTTCATAGACAGTGGATACTTCCACTACAGGCCTGAGTCAAGAACTTCTAAACTGAAGCAAGCTTTACTTAACAAACAAGGTAAACTAAGCGCAGCATCTGAGGCAGACCTGTAATCCTAGAGCTCTATTCTTACAGGAACACGAGAGACATTATTAAGTCTTGTTACAAACAGAATTAGAAGTGTCTCTCCCCACTCCCCCAAAAACCTTACTTAGAGAAAAAAGCCCATATCTAGCAATCATCAGGCCACCAAGAGGGCCAGGAGGCTAGAGCAGATGCCATGTGTGAAGATGAGATAGCTGACTCTGCTCAGAGAGAAATAAAAGATGGCCACGGGGTAGGAAGGGCACCCAGTACCAGCCAACACCTGCAAAGAAAAATGGCTGAATAAGGCTCCTTAGTATTTTTGGTCAACCTGAAACAATTGAATAAGGCTTTTTGACAGAGGTAGACAGCAGGAGGTCAAGAAGCAATGGCCTCAAACTAAAGCGGGGGAGGCTCTAATGCAATCAAAAGAAAGCCTTTTCCACTCCAAAAATGGCCAAGCAGTGGAGCAGAAGCTGTGCAGTCTCCATCCTCTTCCAAGGTTCCATGGGATGAAGCCCTCAGTAACCCACTCAGAACACACAGGTCATCTGGCTTTGAGCCAGACATCGAACCAGATAACAAACTAGGTCCCCCCCCTAAGCTGAGTAACACTGTTACTATGTGAACCACATAGCTGAGTGCAAACTTCTGGCAGTCTTCTGCCAGAAGCAGTCACCCTTCACAGGTGATTTAAGAGGAGAAAACGGTGCTTACCAAGGGTAACAAAGCTTTTCTTCTTCTTTTGTTCTTTTTTCTTGTAGGAATTCTGAGTAAATAAAATGTGAAGAGACAACTCAGTTCAAATTATTGTGGAGGCTTTACATGGACTTATTGTATTACAAAAGTAACTGGCAAAATTGTGTTTGTACTGCTTTGGAAAACTTGCTAAAATACTGTAGTAACAAAGAAGCCTCCAGGATCCCGTAGCTTTCTTATTAGGTGAAAGTGAAGCAAGTCTAGTTTTCCTTACTAAAATGGATGGAATACCACACTGCACAAGAAAGAGCTGTGCAAAAACTATTTTGAAATTGGTCTTGAAGTGACCACAAAACTCCCACTCAGTTGCTTTTCCAGAATATTTATTTGAAAAGTGTAAGTTATTCCACTGAAGGAAGGCATAGAGTGAACAAAGGAGAAACCAGAGAAGGAGGGATAGGATTTACACTTGGAGACAAAGGCACAAAAGCCTTGACCTCAAAAGCACGAAGCCTGAATTTGAAGCTAGGTTGTTCCCCTCCCCCCCCCCATATTTAGTTTGTTTGCTGTAGGTCTGTAATAAAAATTTAAACAAATATATTTTCCAATTAAAACATTCATGTAATAAAGCTCTTATAACAACCCCGTTTAATTCCAGCAGTAGAAAAAAGCATGGGGCATAGCACAGTCCTGATCTCAAAAGAAGCCATCATCCAAGAATAAGAAAGAGCTAATAGAATGAATATTGTAATATATCTTTAATTTTAAATGTTCAAAATCAAGCAAGCATACAAATGAAGTGATATCAAAACAATATTAGTGTGCAGAAGCACTGGCCCATTCTGGGGCAAGGCCACCTTGCCCCATGAAACTAATTAGATGACTTGCACTATTACTCATAACATACCAAAGCTGGGAGATTTCTCATTGTGTTGTGCAGCAGAATGAGTGACAGCTTGATGTACAGAACAAGCCTGTCTGCTCTTCCAGTGCTCTGCACAACTGCTGAAACTCATACCAGAAACTTCAGTTTTGCAAATAAGATTCCACTTGCTTTCCAACATGTCCATGAATTATACGTGGGATTTGCAGTGATGGGGCACACTTCGTGTGTGGATGCAAACACCTAGCTTTGCAATTCTGGGAGAAAAGACTGAATAAATCTTTAACATGCTATTTAGTGGGGGTCCCCCCTCCAAGAGAAGGTAAAATAGGTATGCCTGCTGTTTTCATACTTCTGACAATACCAAATATAGACTGAATAGATCAGAAGTGTCGTATTGTCAAATGTCCTTAAGAAGTCCTCCATCTAAGCAAGCAATTCCTTGTTGTTTCTTCTCAGCAGAGGAAACCACATGCAAGTGTTAGGAAGGAGAGCTGGTGTTCCAGTAGGCACAGAGAACAGAGGAAAGCCACTTGCAGCTTCAAGGTAAGAGGATGTCACTAAGCTTTCTTCACAATAACTCTCCACACTTTTCTTGAATGTATAGCCACAAGAACATCCTTTGTGCACATTGCCAATCTCTACTTAATTTTTCAGTGGGTTTTGAAAGAGCTGCTTACATTTTTGACTGAGCTTTAGCGTATTTCTCTCTCTGTTTTCACTTTCTGTTTACACAGTTCATCTTCCACTTTCATTCATATTTTCAGTTGAAATTCCTCCTTTATAACCATCATAAAAGCTCTTAATTTGTAACTGAAAGCATAGAAACAAATTTTTTATTAAACATCTCCTGAATTTGTTACAAACGTGTTCACACAAGGAGTGATTTTTTTTTTTTTTTTTTTGGTAGCACTTACGAATTTCAGAGATTGTAAGAGAAATTTTGAACCACTGTATTTGTAACCTCATGTTACTCATGAGGGACTGTTGATTGGGAGCCCCGGTTAGTTCTCCACAGTTTCTCCTGGTCAAACTTGACTTATCCTGAGTATCTTGCACGTCTTCTAGCATGATGGTGTCAGACTTTCTTCGCATGACTCCACAGAAATCACTTCAAGACTACTTTATTGGAAAAACATGTTCAAAGGCAACTGCAGCTTTAATTTACAGGCCAGCTTCTGTTCTCAGATGCACACACCAAGACTGTGTTGATTTCGAAGGGAACTGCTTTTATCAAGAAAGCAGAAAAAAGAGACTTACAAATTACCTTCATGTAACATTTCTCAGACTTGCTTGTAGGAGGTTTAAATAACCTGATGCAAGTGTGCTGGCAATACAAGTCACATGTGATACTTCCAACATCGCTAAAATAAGCTCAGCCAGGAAGCGTTTCCTACTGCTTTCTTAATCTGTATGGGGTTCTAACCTTGAGGTTTAACTTTGTGCCATCATACTTCTGATTATAGGGTACAATTACAAGGTAGAGTGATATTGTTTCCAATAGCTGCATAGTCACTACTTAGTTCTGCTCCTAACAAATGGTTCTTTTAAAATAAAGGTCAAACAATGGTTTTGCAGTGGCAATTATAGCATGCTTATCTCATTTTAATGGCATGAGATAGAACATCCTTATGATCTCAGCTTGCAAATACCTTAAAAAGGCATTACAAATGTTTTATAGCCAATTCTAAGTACAAGCATGTCCATTTCTTGCTTGAGGGAAGCTCAAACAAAAACAGTTATAAATAGAATCATAGAATAGTTAGGGTTGGAAAGGACCTTAAGATCATCAAGTTCCAACCCCCCTGCCATGGGCAGGGACACCTCACTCTAAACCATATTACCCAAGGCCTCGTCCAACCTAGCCTTGAACACTGCCAGGGATGAAGCATTCACAACCTCCCTGGACAACCTATTCCAGTGCCTCACTACCCTAACAGGAAAGAATTTCCTCCTTATATCCAATCTAAACTTCCCCTGTTTAAGTTTTAACCCATTACCCCTTGTCCTACCACTACAGTCCCTAATGAAGAGTCCATCCCCAGCATCCCTATATTCCCCCTTCAGATACTGGAAGGCTGCTTTGAGGTCTAAATAGCTTTTCAGTAGATTAAAAAAAAAAAAAGAAAAAAAAAAAACCCACAAAATGTAACATAGGTACTGAAACCTTGAAGGATTCCATTCCAGTAGTAAAAAATAAAACTTTCAAATATACATCTAAGTATTTCAAGGAAAAATCAAAGAGGATTTATGGGTAAATTTTAGACATTATGAGCAGCAGTAAGACTGCTGACTTGGGGTTGTACTGTTTAGAGAACAACAAGCAAACCTAGGATCAAAAAGCCTGAATTCAGAGACAGTGGACTGAGAATATTTTTTAATTTTAAAACTCAAAAAGAAAAAGTTTTTATGAGCTGGCTCATGTTCCTTTTGACATACA